TTTACAAAGAGGTTAAAAATGAAATTCACTATTATTTCAAAATATATTAATGATTTAATTATTATTAGAACTCTTGAAAAGTTTAAATAAAATAATAGCATATTTTAAAAAATGACTTTAAGATGAAAAACTTTAAAATAATAAAATTTTGACTTAACCTACAGAGTAATTATCAAGTTTGATTTTTTGTTATCAAACGAACCATGAGTAAAAGATATTCAAGTGCTTCAACATTGGGGAGAACTCATGCTTTGAACTAACTAATTGTAATTTGATCCCTTGATATATATATATATATATATGGTCCTAACTTAATGCAACATCACCAATGTCAAACAAAATGACATTTTTCATTCTTAAAAGAATATTTTTGGTCCTTAGGTACCTACCATATTTGATTGTAATTGATGCACGAATATATTTGGCTAAGAATATATATGTTTTGATATAGCATTTAATAAAAATTTATTGGCAAAATTTTGTTATTCTTTGACTTGAAGTCACTATAGTGGAATTGAACATATATTTTTTCACTTTTCGAAGGACAAATGTTATATAATTGTTATGTCCAAGCACTCAAAATCCAAACTAATTGAATATGTGGATTTAGATATTTATCATATTCACATAAAAGATTATGACAAATATAGTATTTGCACACATATATTCGTATTGCTATATCCATAAACAATTCAAAAATATATCTACTCTTTGAAAATGTTTGTGAAATAGATCTAACATATATAATAAGAAGGTGGTTACACCTTGCAAGATAATGGTGTAAGCACTACACAAATAATGGATGGTTATAGTAAATGAGACAAAAGTAATGCATATCTTACAAAGTTTTTCTTTACACATAAACTCTTAAAAAAAAGTGAAATAGTGTTTGTTAAATTTATTATAGTGAGAAGACAATAACATCTCTTCACAAAATCATTGGTTACTGGAACTTTTGAGCAATTAAGACACAAGATTGGCATAAATATAAGTTATTTGACTATAAATATAAGTTATTTGATTATAAATATACATTGAATTCAGGAGAAGTATTATATGTGCTGTACTTTTTTCCTCTTTCCCATGGTTTTTGTTTTTTTTTTTTTTTTTCTCACTCAATTTTTCTTGAAAAAGTTTTTAATTAGACAGTTTGTCAAATGTATAATAAAATATGAACATTTGAGGGGGAGTATTATAAATCAGTTGGTTTGTGAATATTTCACCTTTCTCATCTTCCACCTCTCCACTTTTTATGGCATTTACATACCAAATAATGGTGTAACTCCCACTATCTCCACGTAATTACAGTGCTGATTAATACTCTATAATCTCATGCATTTAAATTTTGAGTTATTCTTATTTAATAGGTAATTAACTCTTATTTTGTAATTCTTATATGTTTTATAACTTCTACCCCTCTACTACCCTATATAAAGGGCTTGTTATTGCATGAGGAAGAGATGGAAGAATAAAGAAGAATAACAATCTTTTTATGGTCTCTTTGCCTCCTTTGTTTTTCCATTTAACATTATTTTTTCTACTTCTTTCCTTTATTTTACAATATAATTATCATTTTTATTGATTTTATGACCAAATTACAACAAATGGCATGGCGCAGAGATAGAAAACAATGCTCAAAGAAAAACACATCTCCTTTATTTTTATTCTTTATATTATTCTCTTCTCTTTATTCTTTATATTATTCTCCTTCCTTTTTTTCTCCTACTTATGAGAATCCCATTCCCATGGGGAACTATTGAGAAACAAGAAGAACAAAATCAAGTTCTCGAATCAGTTCTGACTGAGGACACAGTTTGATAGAAACATAAGTTGTTGGAAATATGCTCTCGATTAAAGTTTGAGTCAACTTCGTAGTCTTAATTTGGGTAGGACTTAATATCTTAAGAATCTTGAAGCACATGTAAAGTCATATAGTGAAATTTGATTTTCTTAATTTGTTCCAACTTAATTTGTACGGAATTTGGGTACCTAATGGCAATATATATGTGAAAACTCGTAATAAGACTTGAATTTATACTCCCAATATAAATGTGTTATTAGTAATCTAATTTGGTGTGGAGATCCCACCCTTCACTGGGGTGACAATTTAGATTTTGCTATTTTTAGTTTGGAGAGGAGGTGAGTTTTCTACCTAAGGTATAATGAAGGGCTTTAATTTGAGCTATGAGTGGTGAGTGAAAAGATAAAGAGATGGAATGAAAATCTTAAGAGAGTTTTTGAAGAGATTGGAGTTTCGAGAAAATATTGAAGTTAAGAAATAATTGGGTATCCGAGTATGGAGAGGAAATTATTCTCCAATGGCAGTATTAGAGTTTAAGCAAGAGTTTTTAATTCCTAATATTAGTATCAGAGCATTGGAAAGGAAATTATTTTCCAACAATGATTTGGTGGAATTTTTAATTCCCAGCATAAGATTTGAATGATTCAACTGATTTCGTGCTTGAATCCAAAATAATGATAACCCTAAGGTGATTTCCTGTTTGCAAAGGCCCTCCTGTTCATATTCGAGTGTTTCTTTTTACAGAGGAGCTAATTTTCCTGCATGTTGATCCATTTTTGTGAGTCTTAATTCTATGCTCTGTCCTGTTAAGGGATTTTTCTCTTTTTTTGTGTGCTTATTTTGTGTTTTGCGACGAATTTTGGTTAACTTTGGTGATAGAAGAATAAAAAAACCTCCAATTTCCTTACATTGAACAGCTATTTGAGGAAGATTGGCTAAGAAAAGAGAGGAGCGAGGAAGAAATTGAAGAGTAAAAACAAGTTTAGCTATTCTAACAAAATTAGTCGCTGCTTACTAATTTATTTGTCACATTTTACGTATTTTTAAAGAAAAATAGATTTGCACAAACTTTTAATACAATTTAACATATAATTTAAATAATTAATTTTTTTTATTTATTTAAATATATAATATTAAGTGTATTAACTCATTTAATAACATGTAAAAATTATATAAAAAATTATTTTTATATTACAGTTCTTTAAAAAAATAATTCACTTTAATTGTCAATATTTCTTATAAATAAATATTGAATTCTTTTTTTATTTACTCTTATTAAAAATTTGTAATTATTTACTAGAAAGAAACTTTATAATTACTACATTCTGAAAAGAACATATCCCAATTTTTTTATTAATAAGTATAAATATAAAATTTTAATTAATAACAATTATATTTTTATGAGTGTCTTCATGTAATTAAAATAATGAGGACAAATTAGTCTAATAAAATAAAAAATAGTAGCATTAAGATGTATGGACGTCGCAGTAACCTCATTCGCTTATTGACCAACCATGATGTTAGTGATTAGTTGTGAGGCTTCCTAATATTAACAAAAGTTTATTTTATTGTAAAAAAAATAAGTAACAAGTAATTTCTCAAAAAAAATTTTAGTCTTGATAATAAATTAGTCTCAATTATTCTTGTCAAGAACCCCAAACCTAGATATGTTTTTTACTTTAATATCTCTGAATTTTTTTTTTTTTTTGGATTTAAATAAATGAGAATAACGATGGATAACCGATTGAGGAAGGAATGACGTTCATTTTCATTTGATAAGCTTGGTAAAATTGGATTCAATCCAAAAATTTGACTCAACTTATTTGTTATAGGTCGGATCATAAGTTTTATGTGTTAATTTAAAATTTGAAATTATTTGAACTAAAATTACTTGAATCTAAATGGGTTGAATCACAGATGGATCAAGTCATCCAAAATGATCCAAATTTTTTTATTAATTTTTTATTAAATTATTTAAAAATTAATTTTTAATTTTTAATTTTTAATTTCTTATTCTTAAAAATAGAAATAAATAAAATACCTAAATTCTAACTTCCCATTAGTTTCACTTTCTCTCAACTTTTCCTCTTCTCCCTGTCACTCTCCCCTTCTTCATCTCAAGCTCTCTAATCTTTCTCATTGGTGGCACTCAAAAATCAGATCATGTAGCACATAGTGAGTTGTGTTATATGGTATTGTAAAAGGGATTTTATTTTTTTAAATAGAAAGCAAGAATGTTTATTGAAAATCAAAATCTAATGGTTGAGATACTCTCATTGCCACTAAAAGCACAAGGACAAGAATATTAAGGTTTATTCTTAATTGTTAATTTGTTCTTAATTAATCATTTGTTCCTAGTTAATAAAAGTCAATCCCAATTCAATTTCTTCTTGTATTTGTTTAAACATATTTTGAATTTGCCTTTTGAACTTTAATATTAAATAGAGTTATATTTTTTGTATAATACCCTTCTAAATATTTGTATAATACCCTTATAAATATTGAGTAGGTTCTAATATTAATATATATATATTGGATTTGTCTTTTCAACTCTAATCTTTCATGTCTCTTTTTTTAATCTTTGGGACTTTAATCCTTCATGTCTCTTTTTTTAATGCCTTTATGAAATTATGAATTCTAAATATTATATAAACATTATATATTTGATATATATTTTAGTTTTATCTATACAATCAGTAATCTTTCCCTTTTATTTTCTTGAGATTGAAATGAAAATTGAATTATGAAACGAAATTAGAGTTTAATAAAGTTTTTTAACTAAATTATTAATTAGTATTAGATTTTGTTAAAGAAAAATAGAGAAAATATAAAAAAATTTAAATTTAAATTTAAATTTTTTAGAAGTTGGGTCTATCAAACTCAATCTAAGACCCACGTGGGTAAGTCATGGGCCTACCTCTTTAACTCGAAATCCAAAATGACCCAATCCAAAAAACCCTAAGATCCAAGACGACCCAATCTGAAACTATCCAATTCAACATGTGTAATACCCCAAAATTTTGTGATATTTAGCTTTAAGTTAGGGACTTTTTTGAGAAAGAAATATTTTTTGGGGCTTATTAGCCAAAATGTCCAAACTTGAAGGACTTAAAAGGGTAGAAATTTGGATAAGGACCGGGTATTTTTTCTTCCTTCTTCCCCAGCCATTTCGCGTTCTGCTCTTCTTTCTTCCCGCTGCAGCCCAAAAAAAAAAAAATAGGGAACCCAGCCAAGCCGACAGCCCCACTTGGAAAATTGGTAAGGAAGCTTGGATTTTTCCCTTCTTTTCTTGTCCAAGAACAAGATTTGAGCTTAGAAACCTTCCCCCCTTCAGGAAATTTCGGATCTGCCTTGCTCTGCTCCTCACCGCCGGCTGCTCTTGCTTTGTGGGGGCGAATTGCTTTGATTTTCTGGTAAGAAACAGCCATAAATCTCCCTTCTCCAGCTTTAATTGCCTTGGGTTTACCTTAATTGCTCTTGGTTCTCCTAATTTTTGGTAGATTGCGTGAATTCCCCCTGCACTTGCGGCCGGCCTCTTCCCCCAACTGCAGCTCCGGTTCTGTTGGCTAAAATTCTGGTATGTTGACAGCCCTCCACGCTTGAAATTATCCATTTAATTTGTTGCCTTGTGATGTTCGAATTTGGCTGAAAATTGGGGAGGAATTCCGGTAGCTTTAGGATAAAATTAAGCATTAATTCAAGTGGGATTTATGTGATTGAGTGTTAATTGACTGTTGTGATTTTTGGAGAGAAAATCCCGTGAAATTAGCTAGTGTTTTGGCCAATTTTGGAAGTGCAGTTACTGTTCACGGCACTGTTCACGGCACTGATGCCAACAATTAACGGGGATTTAAATGTTTAGTTTGTAATATAAAAACAAATTTGGAGATATCTGATCATGTGGAGGTTGATAGGAATAGCATTGTGATTAGGGGTGATCTTAATGAAGTTTTACTTTGAATTTGTGATAGTATAGAATTAGTCCTTGAATATTTTGATTAGGTTCATGATCGTTCTGTCAGTTTAGCACTGAAATTGACTCTTCAGTTTATGGAGTGAATTTTCTATGTTATGCGATTGAGGTAAGTAAATTTATGGTAATACCCGTATAGTTTTTAAAAGCATGTTTTGACTTGTTTTTGAAGTGGTGGCGAGACTAAACCCGTTTTATACAAAAGTAAATATGATTGATTTAAAGTGAAATTTTTATGCTTTTCATTACATTGAGCATGCCTACTTGAAATTTCATTGATTATCCTAATGATCTGAAAGTGATTGGTGAATTATGATTTTTCTGTTAACTTCAACCTGTTTTGTCTCCGATGTGGTCATGCTATTAGTGACCTTACTAGTGGGGGTTAAACGCTAGCACATGTCGACATGTTACTGATAGAACCGGTTCGTTTTTGTTATCTTGCTAGTGGGATTATACACTAGTAAATCGTGTGCCTGTTAGTGGGAGGTTTATAACACTGGCCGTGACCTATGGAGGAGATGTCTATTTCGTTCTCGTACTGTATCCGTTTTTCGTTATTACATTTGTTGGCATGCTATAAGTTTAATAAAGGGCACTCCATATTTACTTACTGAATTATCTTATAGTTTTTCCTTGTCCACCATTTCAGGAAGCGAAACCGAGGATGGGGAAACCACAAGAAGTGACGAGTTAAAAGGCTAGTCATATTGTAATTGAACATATATTTTAGAAATAAATCATGATCTTGTAAACTCGACTTTATTGGAGATTTATGATATCAGAGAAAATTATAAAATTGATCTTCAAATTTTGGTGGTATCAGATTGTGATATGATAAGTTCCGAGTCTAGTGTATTTGTGGGATCCTCTCACGAGTGTATGGCGTTTGCCACGTTCCCGGATTTGGGTTCTGAGGCGTGACAACATGTTTGCCAGATCTACCACTTGATTGTAAACCTACTCTAAACTGTACGATATGGGAAGGAAATAGGAGTGTATGACAAAGAATTGAGAGCAATGGTTGTTGGTTCAAATATAAGGGATTCAATTTTTTTCAACTAAACACTTAAATTTAAATCTTATAAATAGAGAAATAAGTATTGAGGGAATTTTTTTTTTTTTTGGGATCCAATATAGCTCAAATTAGTTGAGGTCTAATGTAAATAATACTTAATTACTTTGCTAACTTTTAATTTCTAAGATAATTATACATTATAATTTATTTTAATTAGTAGGTCCCACTTACCTAAGTTGATAAATGATTTTAGGTGAAGTTCTCTCATCATTTAAAATTTAATAAATTTCTATAGAATTTTATAGATTGAATTTTGATGTATAATATGTCATTATTTAGCCTTGATTTTAATGGTATTGGAGTGGGTTAAATGTGATTGTATTTGATTTTACATATGTTGTTTTTTTAGAAAAAGACACAATTGTAAGAAAAAAATATATTTAAGATTGAATTGCAAAACTTTTGAAAGTTGAGGGATAAACTTGCATTAAAAAAATTGAATTTTGAGACCAAAATTGTAAACATAAAAAGTATAAAAGTTAAAGTATCAATCTGATGAAAGTTAAAAGACCACAAATGCAATAAAAATATAGCGTGCATATGAGTTAACGAAAACTTTATAATATGTTTGGATCGAGAGAGGAAAGGAAGGAAAAATATTTTTTTGACTTATTAGATTATAATATTTAAAAAAAATTATAATTTAATTAATTAAAAAAAAATTTTTCCTAACCCAAATATAAAGTTAACGGAAAAACAATACCAAAATGAAGAGTCGGAGAAAAATAATACTAAAATAATATTTGGAGACCACTTTAATATCCACTGAAAAAGTCCAAGACGAAAACGGTACGTAAACCAAAAACAACCAACCGTGACGATCGCGATTAGTGAATTACACGTTTGCCTTATATCTGGGCAATCACCGACCTATTTATTTTCTCTTTCTCAATTTCATTTTCTTGGGCAGACGTTTGAGGGGCAGTGCTAGGGACACTCGCCCCTTGGCATTCGCTCTGACACTTTCCCATTTAAAAGATGACACGTGGTGAGAAAGTTGAAAGGTTTCGGTTTCGCTATCAAGGTTGATAACTGAGAGGAGCCAATTTTTTACCATTTCAAAAATATAAATAGTTTCTTTTGATGGCTTTTTCTCTCTTGTTTTTTACTTTTTTTCTTTTTCTTTTTTCTTTTTTTAAGTTTTTTTAAGTAAAGGTGTAAATAATAATATCAATTCTATAATTTTTTATTTAAAAAAATAATTTTTTATCAACTTTATTATTTAAAGATATTAAATTATTTGAAGTTAGTTAATTTGAGAGTTAATAAAACATATTCTTCATATCATATAAGTAAATTTTATTTATCTTATTAATAATAATTTATAATAAAGCAAATCAGGGTTTAATTTCATCATCTTTAATTAAGTTACCTCTATCATAGGCAACCATAGCGACTTCACTAAAATCCTACCATAATATTTATTCAACTTGGTCTTTCCTTAGGGAAGTACAAAAAATAAAATTTAATTAATTAAAAATTTTATATATTAGAATAATTAAATTCAACAAAATTTATGCATACAACATATATTTATAAGAAAATAGTGCCTATTAGCTTTATCTCCTAAAGATTATGAAGAAAATCATCTCAAAACTACGTCGTTTCAATAAATTTTTATTGAAAAAGACTAAACTAATATATTTTTAAAGCATGTATGAAGGTGATTTTTATCATTTTTCCTCTTAATTTTTTGGAGGTAAGGTGAACAAGCACTAATCCCTATTTATAATTTCAATTTACTCTTTTTTTAAGTTTTATTAACTATTTAAATTTCATTACTAATTTTAACTTGTGAAGTAAAATAAAAGTTTAGTAACCAATAATTTAGTAATTAAATGTGAGTTTTTTTTAGTGATTTTATGACTATACGATAAATTACAAATGAAATCACCACTTATTTCTTTTAAGTAGATATAATTCATGTGAACTCAGTCCATTATCAACTAAAAAAATTCTATTAAAAAGACAATAACAGAATTACAAATTTTAAAAGCAAAATAAATAAATAAACAAATAAATCTATTTAAAAAAATAAATTTTAATTTAATTAAATTACTCCTTTGAGATAATACCACAAGATAACATTTTTTTCTCCTAAAATCTAGCAGAAATAAAAAGCTGGAGTCCTAAGTAACCAAAACTCATTGATGACATTATTTAGCAAATAAAGATTAACTATATGCCAGATCAAACTCAAAAATAGAAGTCTTTTCCAACTCCTTTTCTTTCACGTTCTCTTTGAATCTTTATCATTTGTTTTGTCATTATCCCTTAACCATTCCTAAACTTTGTTTATTAATTAATCTACATGGTTCCTTCCTTCACCTCACAACTAACTCGATCTGTTCATCTCTTCCTTCCTGTTTCTCTTCCAATTCTTGCATTATAGGACATAAACCTTCGCTTTATTACCAGAAAATATTATTAAATTTCTTAATTGTTGTAAAGACCCAGATGGTGGAGACGGTGGTGAAGGTGGACAGGCAAGTAAATGGTGTATATGATTAATTTTTCTTTTTACCTATCAGTTCATTTCAATAGCTATATTCATCTGTTTGTTAATTATTGATCAAACCTCTAGCATTAAACTTAAAATCCTCTTTCGGAGGCCAAAAGAAAAAGGAAAAAAAAAAAAAAAAAAAAAAAAA